GCTCCAACTACAACAACTGCTGCTCCAACCACCACAACTGCTGCTCCTACTACAACAACTGCTGCTCCTACTACAACAACTGCTGCTCCAACCACCACAACTGCTGCTCCAATTACCACAACTGCTGCTCCAACTACAACAACTGCTGCTCCAACCACCACAACTGCTGCTCCTACTACAACAACTGCTGCTCCAACCACCACAACTGCGGCTCCAACCACCACAACTGCTGCTCCAACTACAACAACTGCTGCTCCAACCACCACAACTGCTGCTCCTACTACAACAACTGCTGCTCCAACCACCACAACTGCTGCTCCAACTACCACAACTGCTGCTCCAACTACAACAACTGCTGCTCCAACCACCACAACTGCTGCTCTTACCACAACAACCATGGCTCCAACCACTACAACTGCTACTCCAACTACCACAACTGCTGCTCCTACCACAGCAACCATGGCTCCAACCATCACAACTGCTGCTCCAACTACCACAACTGCTGCTCCAACCACCACAACTACCGCCCAACCTACGACCACATCAAACAGTAGCGCATCTGAAGTCAGATTGGGCCTACTCCACCTGCTCCTTGGACTGTTTATTTTTATCTTCTAATTGATTAAGAGAAGGTACCAAAATTATTTTGATGGATAACTTAATCTATTTATTTGGGTATATCTTGGTAAATATCTACATGTAAATATAAGTTAGTGAAATAATATTATAATATTATTTATAAAATCTTTCTATTTCTTTGTGTTTTGTGTATGAGGTTTATTTTTTATTATAATAAATATTTATGAACCAGAAAAACTTATATATTACTTTTAGGAGTACACAATTTAATTAACACGGAACACAAATGTATTTTCTTCTGACAAGGATCTTGGCTTTTATACTGCCTTTTTATTTTCTAAATATTTATTGCTTAAGCATTGTAAAGAAAACGAGATTCCACATTAATGACGTAAAGTTTAAAATCTTAATCAAATAAAGAGGACCTACAGTACAATTTCATTGAATTTTGAGTATTGTTCTTGATTTGTTTTTTACTGTCTTCCCTTTCCAATTACCTTCAGTATTTTAAACAGATCATACCAGACTTTACTGGATGTTAAAGCAAAAGCTTCAAAGTCAATAATTACACACAGGTATTCTCTGTTTACCTTAGTGCACATCTCTGTTGGTCAATGAAGGGGGAAGGGTTATATCCAAGACATGCTCTAGTTTTTAGGGTATCACCAACCAATCTAAATTGCAATGTTTTTCAACAAAAATTTCCATTGCAATTTTATTTTAATTTTCTGTTGCACTAACCACAGTTGTCTTTAAAAAGGTTGAATGCTTGCTTCTCCAGTCTATTGTGACATGGCTTAACCTTTACTGTTGTGTGGAAAAGTGTCTACTTCTCACTGAGGAAAAACTGGTTGAAACTACATAGAATAGATGACATGACTGAAGCCCAAACAACATCTACATTTGGTTGAAAAGTGAAAAGTAAAAGCTGTAATTTTCAAATCATTGAAAACAGGGTTTTTTAACATCAATAAATTAGGTCAAAATCAGACCGACCAAACACAACCACATTTCAACAACTATTTCTGAACTAAATCAAAACTATGATGGATCGATGAGATCTAGCCTAAAAACCAATGTCTAAAGGATGCCTGGTGTTTGGAGGTTCTAACTGCAAGCATGGATCTGCATGCTAGCTGACACTCTATTTTCCCTCTGTGTAGTTTCTTATGTCACCTGCTGCTATTTCTGAGATTGGCTAAAATCAATTTTGGTATGCGGGCATTAGGTTTTCTTTCACAAAATTAGTTTAAATGGTTCTCCTTCTTTCCCCAAACAGATATGTTGAGAGCAGTCTCAGATTAATAATTTGTAGAACTAAACCTTAGAGCTACATATTGTCAGTGTGGCTTTCCACGTTAGGAAACAATGTTTTCTACCCGCTTTTTGTTTTTATTATGATGTTCTTACTTTTATATTCAAGTCTTTGAAATTCCAGAACTTATACATCACCTGATATTTTGTTTGACTGGTTCTCTGGTTATCTGGTTCAATTATTGAATCAACAGTTATACACATTTAGCAGGCTATATTGAGAAGTCTTTTGGACAGTTTTTTGGTTTTCTGTTGCCAAGGAGATCCCAATTCAGGCTGGTAAAGTTATTTTTTTCTTTTTTTTAAAGAGTGTCCTGTCTGGCAATGTGGCAATAAGAATAATTGTCTTTATGCCAAAAAGCACCCAACAGATTTTACTTTCACAAGTGGAGCAGTACCATAGTGTTCCACTTGATTTATGCATATACATTGCTTCATTATAATTATGCAGGGAGTTTTACAGATTATATGGACACTGCAATGTAAGTAGAACAGGAAAGGAAAAACTGAAAAAAAGGAGAAAGGATGAAAGAAAGAGGGGACAAAAGGGAGACAATGATAAAACCCATTCCTCCCGTTTTCAACTACATATCTATGTGAGATGAGCTTGTCAAACTTGACTGGGATAAAAACTAAAACCAGAGAGAGACTGAGAACTGTTGATTGAAGACCTTTGTGTGGGTCTTTCTACAATTCCTGCCAGGATATCCCTTCTGTGTTCATTGAAACAGGCCCAGGTTTCACATTGAGTATAAATACATATAGAAACTATATTATTTATTATATCCAAAATGTACTGGGTTACAGTGCCATTTTGTGTCATTTTTGTTGCTGGTGTACCAGAGGATTATGTAAATGTAAAAAATGTGCCGCTGCTCATAAAAGGTTAAAAATCACAGAACTTGCATAGTTGTTCAGTGCTACTTTGATTTGTGCAGGTAAAACTATTGCTTGTGCTGATATGGTTTTTACGATTTATTTTTAATCACATCATTCCTGTGCTGGTGTTGAATATAATAGTGGGCATGTTTACCTTATTTAGTGGCTGAAATGTTTGTTTCGTGTTTAGTAAATCATCAGCCTCTCAGGCCCTCTGCTTTGGACCTACCGTTATCCCTGGCAACCCCATGTCATTTGCTGTCTGTCAGTATTTCACAATAAAAGCAAAGGTGAAATAGGGGGTTTTCAGTGACGTCACTGGCCAGCTTCCGGTCCGCCATCTTTGGTGGCATATTATCGTATATCATATATATCATGTCGCGAATGGATAAGTACGCCAGCACGCTAGAGCCACCAGATCATGGAACATATCAGAGGAAATGTTCCGTGATCGACCATATGGACTGTAGGCTGCAGCCAGGCTTAACTAAACCCCAGATAGATATACAGTATTGTTTAAATATAGGGCTTGGGATCCACGTTGCATTGTAGGATGTGGCTGCCATGTAGATGGCAACGCAACATTAAAATACCTCTGACTTAACGTTGTTGAACGAAGAGACGTAGAAGTAGAGTTGAGAAAGAATAGATAGAAAAAAGATGTTAAAATCCCGAAAAGGATCTGAAATTTACCGGGACACATTAAATAGAGAAGCCAGGGACCGGTATGTTGACAAAATCAGCATTATTAATAATTTGGATCCATATGAAGTTCCAAACAATGACTTGTTGCCACTGTTTTGCATATCAGACGTCTTCGGCTACCTTGTTTGTGGTGTGAGCGCCTATACTTCAGAACAGTTCCAAAGCTACAAGTCCTTGGAGTCTCATGTGCAGTTTACAAATAGATGGGTTCAGGAGCTGCAGCTCATAAAGCCAGCAAACAGTGCTAACCGTTAGTGCTAACAACCACTCAGGCATGTAATGTACTTTTAACTAGCTGCTATGTGTTTCAAAGGTTTGGTTAGTAACGTTAACTGCCAAACCTCCCTAAACCCTCCGGGTTTCTCACATATTTGAGTCTTTTCCCGCTAGTTGAAATCAAGTTAAGGTGATATTAATCAAATTAAAACACGGCTGAGAGAGGGAGTCCAGTACGCGGTAGTCATAGGCAGTAGTCTGAGTAGCGGCGGCGGAGGCAGTCAACATTGCGGCCACGGAAAGTAATACGTCATGACGCCCAAGCCGTATTATTAATATATTCTTACATGTTTTAAATGCTTGACAGTTAATTACCTGTGACAAAGTGAGCACTGCAGACTCTGGCGTATTCCAGCTTAACACCGTCCAAATCGGACCTGGATATCCGTGTCAGCCATATGTGACGGCGTTGTTCAGATAGCTGTTTTGTTTTTTCACATTGATTCACGATTACGGCTGGTATGCAATAGAAAGAGCGTTGATCTCCACCTCCACGGGCCGTGCTACCAACAATTACACACGTTTTCACCATTTTTCACTGTCAATACTGCCTAAGGCGTCATACAATGCAGGGTCAACGGTGCGAAACGACTGCCACCCAATATGGCGGACGCGCTGAGTAGTCACGTGAGCGTGACGTCACCTGAAAACCCCCTATTGAACATTTCGGACTAATGCTAAGTTGTTCCTTGTAAAACGTAAAACATCTTTTTTAAAGCTACCTAAATACCTTTTGTGAGCATTCGTTTTTTCTAACTTTTTTTACAGAAGAAAATCAAATGGACCCCCTCACAATTGCAAAATCTTTAGCAAATTTTTTTAACATTGTAATTTGCATGAAAAAATATTTTGCGCATTTTCTTGACAGAAGATTTAGACAGACTTTATTTCCATTTTGTATACGAAAAGAAATTTCATTCAGTACAGCTCTCAAGATATTTTCATTTTTTAAAGTGCAGCAGTGATAAAACGTAAGCAGCAGTGATAAATATAAAACATACGACTGTATCATAGTTCCAGTTTCCAACATTCAGGGTTTTGTTCTTTTTAATAAACCCATTTTATAAAACATTCAGCAATCTAGTAGCACTGGGGAAGAAACTGTTGTGGGACCTGCATCGGATGCTTCAAAGTCTCTTTCCAAAGGCCAGCAGGGAAAACAGTCCATGGTGGGGGTGTGATGGGACATTAATAATCCCTGGTTCTGCTGGAGGTTTCTTCCTGTTAAAAGGGAAATTTTCCTCTCCACTGTTGCTACAAGCATGCTTAGTGTGAGGGATTGCATTCGAGTCAATGAGTCCATGCAATCAATTGGTTTTCCTTAGATAGAAAACTTTGAATCAATTTGACTGTATGCTCTGGTGAACTGTAAAGTGCCTTGAGATGACATGTGTTATAAATAGGCGCTATATAAATAAACTGAACTGAATTGAATAATGTTATGGGCTCGGGACACGCAGTGCTCAGATTAAATTTCTTTAATGGAGGTGAATCAACACTCTCAAAATAGCATGTTCTGCTAATGCTATGTTTTAAGTTTAAAATGTGTTTTTTGAACAGAAATTGAGAAAATTACACAATAAATTTTGTTCAGGCAAAAACAGCACCAAAATAAAATTTTCTCAACATGAGTAGCCCACGTTTTTTTTGTTTTGTTTTTTTTATTAAGGTAGCATTTATACTTGTGGCATTACCCCTGTTCTGGCCGGCTCCAAAACTACATGAGGAAGTAGAAAACACTGTCGCTCAAACAGCCGCCCCAGCAGATGCCAGCAACAGTAATTTTTTTACTGGAGTTTTCCCACAATCTGTAGATAGTGCTGATATTAATGAGCTAAATCAGCAATGTTTCTAGATGTTTACTACTGCAAACCCTTGCCTAGAGGGGCTGCTGCTCACTGGCCGTATTTCGCAAGTGGATATGTCCGCATAGTTACACATTTTCCTAGGTGCTCAGAACAGAAATTGTCAGTGTGTAGAGCCCTGGAAGCCCAAAATTATGTAATCTGGCCTCACAGACCACGCAGAAGCGCCATGCATAAACCAAGCTTTAGCTACTTCTTAAAAACCAGTCAGGACAGTTCTGCTGGGTGCTGCATTCCTGAATGAATTTACATAATAA